TCAAATTTTAATTTTTTGGTGTGAAAATGTACTGTAGGGGCGGTTATACAATGAACCACCTCTAGAAATAGGATTTATAAGGGCGGCTGGTGTTACAACCGCCCCTACAAGTTATTTTTGTAGAGACGGCTGGTGTTACCAACCGCCCGCCCCTACAAATACAGTTGTAGGGGTGGCTAGTGACACCAGTCGCCCTTACAAATTGATTTGTAGGGGCGGTCTGGGAACCGCCCCTACAAATACAAGATTTGTAGCCACGCTTTGGTAGGGGCGGCTGACCAAACTGCCCCTACAAATCATCTGGAGCCGTCCCTACAAAAGGTTTATGTAGTAGTGCGGGAGAAGAAGATGGAGGCGCTCGCCGAGGGCGGGGAGAGGGTGGCGTGGTGCCCTGGAGTGGAAGAGGGAGGTGCCGGCCGGAGAGGGATACTGTGGGCGGAGAGGGAGGCGCTGTCGCCGGCTAGTCGTGACTCGCGAGAGGTCGCGAGCGGAGGGGAGGGAGTCACGCGCGATGGAGCGCCGGCGTGGGGGTGTGGGACGGGCTGAGGAGGAGGATACACGTAATCCGGACCGCTCGATTTGAGTGGGTAAGGAGAGAAGGCTTAGAAGTAAATCTGGACGGTTTATTTTAAAGATGTTGTTTTCTGGGTAGAGTTTTTGGGGTGGACGGAGATGGAGCTTCTTGGCGGGGTTGTTTTTTTAGGTGAGTTTAGCAAAGAAAAAGACAGTGAATTAGTAAGTTAGATACCAAGGCAGAGCAAGGCGATGACGCTGCTGAGAGGGAGGTCGGAGTCCTTAGATTTGCTCCGCCACCGGTGGCATGCGTGCATGAGAGTATCCGCGTATTGGCAGGTGCCATGCACGGCTATTGTACAAGAAACATGTAATTCCACCGCTCCTTTGTACGTGTGTTGTACCATTTTCTATACTTAATATGTTTCGTATTATCATATATGCATTATTTGGGTGGGCGTAGTATCCGAATGAAAAGAGAGATGGCAAGCAAAGCGGTGAATGAACTAAACGTACGTATCTTTGTGATGATCGAAATCATATAGCAAAGCATAACAGCATGTGATATGATCCTTAATAAATTTTCGAGCCATAAATCAGCTGAATAACTGTGAAACAAGCGGTACGTTACGTTTCATTACAATGAACAGACATATGTCTTTGTTGAATGTTGACGATATACCGCTAATGTCATGACCTGGCCACTGGAGCTCATTTGCGTCCTGGCACACATGTGGCTATGTGGCTTGAAAAGTGCAACAAATTATATATCCCGTTGCAACGCATGGGCATATTTGCTAGTTAATAAAAAGTGTGACACATGCCATGCCGAACAATCTGGTATACTACGAAAAGACTAATAATCCAGTATACTATGTTAAAATGATTTTTGGAGACAATTGAAAATATATATTTTTAGAGATGGTTATTAATTTCCTCCGCCTCTATAAATCACTACAAGTCCAAGATCAAGCCCCGCCTTTGAAAATATATTTGTAGATATGGCCCTCTCTCAAAGACATTGTCTCGATATATTGAAAATTGGCGTCGCCCGCGTCATAAAAATCCTAGCTCCAAAATATCTCTCCTACCAATCTGGCCCACCCCTTATCTTTCTCTCCCACTATCGTCCGCTCTGAGAACCGAGCGTAGCTCGGGTGGCAAGGCCCGGTGGCTGGGACCTTACCGGCCAGAGATCAAGCCCCCGTGGCTGCGATTTTCAGGTCTCTCACCGGGGTTCGCCCCAAAAAATAACTCTGTTGTCTCTCGTGCGTGGAACCACAAAGGGAATACGACGCGCCTCGTCGTCTACGGATTCATGGATGGACCCGGTGATCTCACAAAGGACGCAATCTAGTGATCTGAGTATAGTTGTAGGTTTGTTTGTGTACGCGTGGTGTGAGTGTGTGGTGTGCGTGTGTGGGGTTGGTGTGAGTCTGTACATAAGCAGATACTGCAGCTGTACCCAGATGAGAGGCGTAAAAAAAACTATCGCCCGCTCTGCTTCATTCTCTCTCCCTCTGCCACCATGCACTGCCCCTCACTTCTCTCTGTCTCAGAACCCCTTCATTCCTCTTTGTCCGCAACACAACAGTGCAGCGGTGGTGGGAGCACCAGGCTAGGGCTCCAGTTTGGCTATTTGGCAGCCATCCAGGATTCGGTTGCTCGTGGTGCTAAGCAGCTTCCATGTCACTTGGGCCATCACCGACTTGCCTCCGCGTGAGTTTACGCCTTGAACTTGTAGCATTGTTGTTTCTCCTCGTGTATGTTGTTTGTGGTTATTTCTTCTTCTTGTCGTGTTTATTGTTTCTTTAACCTATGTCGTGTATATTGTTGGTGTTCATGTTCTTCTCGCTTTTGTTTCTTTGTATGTCTGGAGGGACCATGTAGCTACTAACTAGCGCCTGGTGTCCTCTGTTTATCGCCTCATTGGTATTAGTGGAAAACTATCTGGATGAAGACTATTCGTTCCATGGTGACTTTAAAAAAAAAAAGATTCTAAAGTCTTCGAGTCTCCAATCTTCACAAGCTTCTCAACTTGTAAAGACAACTAAAAGAAAAACACACCGAGAAAAAAGAAATGTAGTGAGTATGATGAAAGTCGAAGAGTAAAATATTAATTTAGCAAAAATGTGATCCGCCGTTGTGCATGTGACAGTAACTTTATACTGAAGCTAAGAATGTCACACGAGTAGTTTGAATAGTACTCTGTATGTAATATCCCACGTAAATACTTACGTAACTTTGATTTTTCATTTTTTTTTGGGCTGGGGCAGCATTACTTCAAGATAAAAGCAGGTCCTTATTAGGAAAAGAGTTAAATACACCGTAGGTCCACGAACTTGTTTGTATGTGCATATAGGTCTATGGACTCGAAAATTGCATTTCTTGACCCTTAAACTTAACTATCCATTCACTACAGGTCCATCCTGCCTCGTCGGACTGTTTTTGCCGACGTGGCAAGGCCACCGTGGACTGACAACAATGGCCATGTGCCCATGTGGACTACGACGACTTGGTCATGGCGATGGCGAGCTTCAGCATTGACGACCCCATGGCGGTCGCAGGCCCATGAAGATTGGAAGCAGAGACGAGGACACAGTCTTCACCCACTACTCCCGCTCCTACAGGTTGCCGTTCCAGAGGCATTCCACAAGCGGGAGGTGCCCTACGTCAAGGATGACTGGCTGCGGATCTGCTGCGCCGTCCGCGTTCTCAAGGAGGAGTCGGGCCCGGCCAGGTACTGCTTCGTCGCTGAGCCGTCGCCGTCGGACATCAACCGATTCCTCAGAGTTCTTCTGGACAGCGAGCAACGTGTGTCCGTGACGCTCGCCGTCGAGGGGAGCTTCCGGTTCGACGCGCACAGGCTGGTGCTCGCCATGCGTTCGCCGGTGTTCAAAGCAAAGTTCTTTGGGGACACCAGGCACAATTGCATCGAGTGGTTCAGGGTCCACGACGTGAGCGCCCGTGTTCAGGGCAATGTTGCACTTCATCTACACGGACGAGCTGCCCCCGGACGACGACGGCGGCTGTGGCGAGGAGACACCATGGCGCAGGACTGCGAATCTGTACGGCATGGACAGGCTGCGCCTCATGTGCGAGAAGATGCTGTGGGAACGCGTTCGCACGGATGACTTCGGGAGCGCGATCTCAACGCTGTCGCTAGTGAACAGCCGGGACAACTACCGCTAGCTCCGGGACCTGTGCATCGGCTACGTCGCCAACGACTGGGAGGCCGTGACGGAGACGGAGGAGTACAGGGAGCTCAAGACCACCTGTCCCACCCTTCTCTGCAACGTCCTCTGCATGGTCGCCGCCCGCCGAGCCCATTATCAGGCGCAGGCATCGCCACGACGGCGATGGAAGTATGGAGAGGAACGCACCAGCTCACCGTCCTAGGCCACATCGGTCGTGCGCGGGGCCAACAGCAACGGCGAGTTAATCCGTTCCGGCGCCTTGAGGTGGGCGGCCATGAGTGGCACATCCTATACTACCCATCGGGATTCAACGACGAACACGTGGAGCACGTAACCGTCTTCCTGCTGGTGGCGACTCCTATTGATCATGATGTCGTCCTGGAGGTGTGGCGACTCCATGGGTGATTGCTTGCACAGGTACACCAACGAGAACCAGGCGAAGGATATAAAAAACGGTTAGAAACGATAGGCAATATAAACGACAAATAACAGTAGATCAAGCATAGGGGACACGAGATTTTAACGTGGAAAACCCTCCCAAGGTGGAAGGGAAAAAACCACGGGCATCAGCCAGCAAATCTTCACTATATCGGGTGAAGTTACAAACGTCGGGGATTTACAACTTGGGGATACCCAAACCTGTGGGCCTTCCCGTATAAAAGTCTATGATACATCTTTTCCATGAGGGAGGTGGTCCATATATATAGGGAGGAAAAACCCCACACCCTCGTCTATTAGCAATACGAAACTAATAGATGGTGTAGTCCCTCTTAACGCTAATGGGCCGCTTCGCTTCGGCCCAAGCTTGAATTTGGATCATAGCTCAACAAACTCCACCTTGAGACAAATTCCTTCTTATAGCATAAAATGAACCTTCACCTTGAAACAACAAAGAAATACTTCCGGTGCCAAATAGCCTCTTGAGCTAAACAGTTATACCAACTAAGTTTGAGCAAACAAACTTAGCAACAGGAACTGGCTTTGTCAACATATCAGCAGGATTATCATGTGTGTTTATCTTACATACCTTCAACTTACCTTGCGTGACCACATCACGAACATAATGGTATTTGACATCAATGTGCTTCGTTCTCTCATAGAACATCTGATCTTTAGTGAGACATATAGCACTTTGACTGTCACAAAATAAATTAATGCAAGAATCATCTCCACAAAGCTCAGCAAACAAACCTTTCAACCAAACTGATTCTTTACATGCTTCAGCAATAGCCATGTATTCTGCTTTAGTGGTAGACATGGCAACAACGGGCTGTAATGTTGCCCTCCAACTCACAGCACAACCACCAATAGTGAACACATAACCTGTGAGAGATCTCCTCTTATCCAAATCAGCAGCAAAATCTGAATCCACGTAGCAATGAGTCCCTTATCAGTCCTGCCAAACTTCAAACAAGCATTTGTTGTGCCACGAAGGAACCTGAAAATCCACTTAACAGCCTTCCAATGTTCTTTACTAGGATTAGCCATGTATCTACTAACCAAACTCATAGCATATGATAAATCAGGACGAGAGCAAACTATGGCATACATCAAAAAACCAACAGCACTAGAATATGGGACTTTTGACATGTACTCAAAATCCTCATCCGTACTAGCACATTGTAAAGCTGATAATTTGAAATGAGGAGCAATAGGAGTACTAACAGACTTTGCATCATGCATGTTGAAACGATGAAGAACTTTCTTAATGTAACTTTGCTAACTAAGAAATAACAAACTAGAATTTCTGTCTCTTGTAATTTCCATACCTAGAATCTTCTTAGCAGCACCAAGATCCTTCATCTTAAACTCACTACTCAATAGTTTCTTCAACGTAGTGATTTCTTTCTTGCTCTTGGCAGCAATCAACATATCATCAACATATAACAGCAAATATATAGGTGATCCATCAACAAATTTAATGTACACATAGCTATCAAATTCAGACCTCTTAAAACCATGTGACATCATAAAAGAATCAAACCTTTTATACCATTGACTAGGAGACTATTTCAAACCATATAAGGACCTCTTTAATTTGCAAACATGATCCTCCTTACCAGGTACTATGAACCCTTCTGGCTGGTCCATGTATATCTCCTCCTCGAGCTCTCCATGTAGAAACGCAGTCTTTACATCTAACTGCTCAAGCTCAAGATCTCGCATAGCAATAATACCGAAAAATGTACAAATTGAACTATACTTTACAACTGGAGAGAACACATCATTATAATCAACGCCAGAAATCTAACTGAAACCTTTTGCTACTAACCTTGCCTTAAATCTTGGAGGCTCACTAGGAGACAAACCCTCCTTTCTTTTGAAGATCAATTTGCAACGAACGGCCTTCTTGTGTTTAGACAAGCGCACAACATCCCATGTGACATTTTTCTCAAGTGATTGCATCTCTTCTTGCATAGCGGAAATCCACTTCTCGCGGTCACCAAAAACAACAGCTTCAGTGTACATAGCCGGCTCATGAATGTTCTCAACCTGTTCAGCACAACTAAAGGCATAATGAACAATATCACATTCCTCAATTAAACGTGGACGAGGTCCACAACTCCTCTTTGTTCTGTGATCTGCAATAGACTGATTTTGAGGCTGCAAAACAGGAGGTGAGTGCTGAACAATATCATGAACATTGTTATCAACAATTTCAGTTTCATGATCATCTACGTGCTCCACTTGCACGCTAACATGTTCCTGCTCCTCATCAGAACCAACTGGTGAAACATCTGTGGACAAGATGTCATTAAACATAATAGATTCATTGAAAACAACGCTCCTGCTCATGAAAGTCTTTTTAGTTTCAGGATTCCATAACTTATATCCTTTAACTCCAGAACCATAACCAAGAAACAGACACTTAATGGCTCTAGGTTCTAGCTTTCCATTATCAATATGAGCATAAGCAGTGCAACCGAAAACTCTCAACTATGAATAATCAGCAGGCATATCAGACCATACCTCAATGGGAGTTTTCTTATTAAGTGGGATAAAAGGTGACCGGTTGATCAAGTAGCAGGCGGTGTTAGCAGCCTCAGCCCAAAAATGCATGTTCATACGAGCATTGGACAGCATGCAACGAGCCCTTGAGATGATGGTTCTGTTCATGCGCTTAGCCACACCATTCTGCTGAGGAGTGTACGGGATGGTGTGGTGCCTGACAATGCCTTTTTCCCTACATTAATCATTAAAAGCATCCGAACAGAATTCACCGCCATTGTCAGTACGAAGCAATTTTACCTTCTTTTCAGTTTGCCTTTCTATCATAACTTTCCACTCTTTAAAACCAGCAAAAGTATCATCTTTATTTTTCAAAAAATAAGGCCACACTTTTCTAGAGTAATCATCAATAATGGTAAGCATGTAACGAGCACCACCATAAGAAGGCTTACGAGATGGCCCCCACAAATCAGCATGTACATAATCAAGTGTACCTTTGGTGGTATGAATAGATGCATTGAATTTTACCCTCTTGTGCTTACCAAAAACACAGTGCTCACAGAACTTCATCTTACCCATAGTGCAGCCATCCAGCAGGTCTCTCTTGATCAATTCTATCATACCAAGTTCACTCATATGCCCAAGACGCATATGCCAGAAATTAGTTTTACTTGGTTCATCATTAGAAACAGTAGCAGCAGTGACGGAACCATGTAAAGTACTTCCTCTAAGAACATATAACTTTGCAGAATTCATATCACCTATCATATGAACGAGAGAGCCTTTTGATACCTTACACACTCCACCTGAACCAGAGTGTATGTACCCCTCAGCATCAAGTGTGCTAAGGGAGATGAGATTTCTGGCCATCCCTGGTATGTGTCTCACATCTTTCAGTGTGCGTATCATGCCATCATGCATCTTGATTTGAACAGAGCCAATGCCCACGATCTCACATGGGTTGTTATCCCCCATACGCACGACATCTGCACTCTACACAGACTCGCAAGAACTGAACCCATCTCTGTTAGAACATATATGAAACGAGCATGCAGAATCAAGTATCCATTCATCACGACTAGCAACACAACCAGCAAAGACAACAAGAACGTCTCCTGAATTAGAAGTATCAACAGCGGAGACAATAGAGGCCTTACCATCACCATCGGATTTGTTTTTCGGTTTATACGTACCATTTCTTTTCTCCTTATTCTGTAGCTTCCAACAATCCTCAATGACATGAGTATCTTTCTTACAATACATGTAGAACTTATCCCTGCCTCTGGACTTGGAACAGCCTTTACTGTTCTTGCTTGTCTCGATTATTGTTGTTGTCATAGGTTTTCTACTCGGGCCTGCCTCTAACCTGCAACACTTTGCCCTTGGAGGATGACACGTCAGACTGAACTATACCTTTCATCTTCTCCCTCATCTGGAGGGCCTCATATACTTCCACAAGGGTTAGTTCATCACGGCTTAATAGTATGGTATCTTGGAAATTTGTAAACGAAGTAGGCAGTGAGCATAACAGTAGAAGAGCTAAATCTTCATCATCATATTTTACCTCCATCGACACTAGGTCGGCAATGATCTCCTTAAAGATCGATAAGTGGTTCATCACCGAACCACCTTCTTGCAGCTTGTGCGTGAACAACTTCATCTTCACGTGCATCTTACTGGTTAGATCCTTGGACATGCAGATCGATTCCAGCTTGAGCCAAAGTTCTACGGCAGTTTTCTCCTACAGCACTTCTTGCAAAATATCATTATGTAGATGAAGTTGAATTAGAGATAGAGCCTTACGATCCTTCCGCTTCTCTTCAGCGGTCCATAACTTCTGCCCTTTTCCTCCGAAACCATCCAACGCATCATCAAGATCCAAAGATTGTGCCAGAATCGCCCGCATCTTGACTCGCCACAGTGCAAATCTCGTCTTGTAATCCAGCAGCGGTAGATCAAACTTCATCGATGCCATCGCGAAACCCTAAGGTGAAACCAAGCTCCGGTACCACTTGTTAGAAATGATAGACAATATAAACGACAAAGAACAGTAGATCAAGCACAGGGGACACGAGATTTTAACGTGAAAAACCCTCCCAAGGTGGAAGGGAAAAAACCACGGGCACCAGCTAGCAAATCTTCACTATATCGGGTGATGTTACAAACGTCGGGGATTTACAACTTGGGGATACCCTAACCTGGGAGCCTTCCCATGTAGAAGTCTATGATACATCTTTTCCATGAGGGAGGTGGTCCGTATATATAGGGAGGAAAACCCCCACACCCTCGTCTATTAGCAATACGGAACTAATAGATAGTGTAGTCCCTCTTAACGCTAATGGGCCGCTTCGCTTCGGCCCAAGCTTGAATTTGGATCATAGCTCAACAAAAACTAGATTATGTAAATCACAACGACCTCGTGGTGCTGCAAGGCCGAGTAGCTTCAGTAATCAGTGGATTACTATCGCTTCAAAATGTACCTCACTGTACTTTCTACTCCTGCTTAATGAATACCGTGCTCATACACATTCGAGAAAAAATGTCTCGTGGGTCTCGACAACAGCCTCATGGTGGAGTGCAGCTTCGAGTTCTAGTTGGCCAACAAGATGACGATCGACCACCGCGCGTCTGGCCACCTGCTGGCTCAGGAGCAGGACATGGTGGTACCGCCGCCCAGCATCTATATGGCACCACGTGTGGCTGCTGGAGGACGGTAAGATCCACGCACACATGCTGGTGTTCACCGAGCGGGCGTCGACCCTCCTGGTGAAGAAAGCGGATGTGGTGAAGAGCAAGAAGAGAAGAAAAAGAATAAGAAGATAATATGGATCGAGGGCATCAAGGCCGTCGTCTTTAAGGACCTGCTCCACTTCGTCTACACGGATGAGTTGCTGCCATTGGACGACCTAGTGTGTGCCATCGCTAGAACCGCTCGCGACCGCGGCAGAGCAGTTCCCATCCTCACGAGCCCGTTAGGCGGCTTGGGGCTGGATTAGTCCACGGTGGCCTTGCCACGTCAGCAAAAATAGCCTGACAAGGCAGGATGGACCTACAGTGAATGGATAGTTAAGTTTAAGAGCCCAAAAATGCAATTTCGGAGTCCATGGACCTATATGGCACACTCAAACAAATTTGTGGACCTACGGTGCATTTAACTCTTAGGAAAATAGTAGTACAAACTTGATGCCCACGGTTGGCCCATCAGTTTTCACTTGAATTCACAGATATGCATCATGCACTTCCGATCGGTTACCCTCGGTAAATAAAACCTAAACAAATCTGTATAAACCTAAATTAGGGTACTGTTTCAGGAAGCAGAGCCGTCCTATTGCACACACGAACCATGGTGACAGGAGTCCCAACACTATCGGACGACGCCCTCGCTGGCGTCTTCCGTGGCTTGTCGTTGCGGAGCCACGCCGTGGCTCGGTGCGTCTATAAGGTGTGGCGCGACATCGTCGACTCCCACGCGCTGCTGCTCCCGCATCTTCTGCCGCACTCTGTGTGAGGAGTCTTACTAAACTACGTCGACCACAAGCGGTCGCACCACCTAGCCCCGTCCCTGCCCGTCGTCGATGATCCCCAAAGTAGATGGCATTCTCAGCTTCTTACCCAACAACCGCAGGGACTTGTGGTCGATCATGGACCACTGCAACGGCCTCCTCCTCTGCGACATCAAGCGGGAAAGCGAGCTCTGCGTGTGTAACCCGGCGACGTCTCGGTGGACGCTACTTCCCTGACCTCCAGGTGCAGATTTCATATACCACCACTACGTCGGTGCGTACATAGCGTTTGATCCAGCGGAATCGTCAGACTTCCAAGTCATCTTGGTCCCCACCATGCCGAAGGCACCAACGCCTGAGCACCGCCAAAAGAAGGAGAGGGAGCGGCGCGCGCAGCTATGGGAGGAAGAGGGCGACGCCCCATTCTGTTTGGACTGGTTCTTTGCAATGGCAAATGGTGGCGCAGCGATCAGTGAGGAAGAGATAGAGGCAGAGAAGGTGCGGCGTGCGCAACTGTGGGAGGAAGAGAGAGACGCCCCGTCCTGCCTGGACTGGTTCTTTGCAATGGCAGAAGACGGCGGCCCAACTATTGGTGAGGAAGAGGCTGAGGCGTACCACGACGAGGAGTTTCAGCAACTGCCGTCGACCGTGGATGAGGACCTAGAACGTGATATCGACCCATGGCGCTTGATGGAATGCCATTGGGAGGAGAGGGCTTTTGCTCGCGAAGGCATGCCGGCAGGGACAGTCGAGAAAATGCGATTGGATCGAGAGGAACCTATGATTTATGGGCCACGTAGACGATACGCCATCCACCATCATGGATCGCTCTATGTGCATTGTCGAGGGCCCTTTGTAACAAGGTATGTATTTGTTTCTTTTTTTCTTATGCAATGATTGACAGGTTGTTTTAGTAGGCTAGTTTTAGTAGGAGTTTTATATCCCCATTTCCAAAACTCATAGGTATAAATAGTGTAAACAAGTTTTATTCTCACGATGAAACTCATTTCATATCATAAAACTTTTTTCATCTCTTTCTTTATTTATACTATGCCACATCAATTTATTTAATACTTATAAACTCCAATGAAACTTCCATTAATACTGACCGTATAGGTAATATTCATGGAGTATTATTATGTATTTTAGAAACTTTGTTGAACGTGTTTTTTTTCCTTTTCATGTCGAGTTTATAAATGTTACAATACAATAATATACCTAGCTCGGTTGGGATGCCAGTGGTATTCTTACTCTGTTCTTTTTATAGTGTACTAGCAAACAAATCCATATACATGGTAATTGTACGGTTGAAATTGTACGGTTCTACGTGTGTTGCTCTAAATATTTATTTAATTAATATAATCATGTCATGAGTTACAATATCCAAATCCATGTGCTTGAGCATATTGTTAACGTCGTCCTTACTCATATCAATGCGTGTGGGGGAAGGACCAAGCAAACGCCTTCACACTTCTCTAAATTGTATGAGCATGGGGGAGAGAACCACAGAAACACTCCACATTTTTTAATATTATTAGGCATTAGGTATAGGTATATAATAGATATAGATATAGATATAGGTTGGTTTATTGTTGGCAGATAAGTCTAGTATGGCGGGAAAAGTTAAACAAACTAATAAACAATATGGCCCCGTTCGCTTCGCTAAAAAAATAAGCCGAAACATTATTCCAGCTGATTTGTTGTGAGAGAAAAACACTGTTCCGGCTGAAAAAGCAAGCTAAAAAGTACGAATTATAAGAGAATATATTGAGAAGATACATATAATTCCTAATAATAAGGTAATAATAATGCACGTACCACTCCCTTTTTATTATATCTTTTATAAGATTCCTATATAATAGAATAAAAAGATAAATTTCCCCATTTTTTATATGTAAGTTAGACCATATGCCCTTTTCATGTCTTTCGTATGTTTCCATAACCACACCATACATTCGGTACCATACATTTAGTACCAAAATATTTTATGTTCACGTGCATTTTTATAATTAAATATTTTTAGTTATTTTATACTACTTAAATAGCTTTAGATGCATTTAATATGAGTACATCAAACAAATATCCATCGTGTAGTAATAGTAATTTATGGCCTGTTTGGTTAGGTGGCTAACCCCAAACTAGGCTCCAGGAAGCCAACTTTGAACTGTTTGGTTGTCTGTAAATAGCTCTAAGCCAGGCCCAACCAAGCCACTTTGGAGGCTCTAGCCTGGCTCCCGAAAAACAAGATTGAGATCCGTTTTTCGCTGGCCAGGCTTGGCCAAGCCCCCGCGTGCATTCTCGTCACCGCCCGTCACCTCCCCGCGCTGTTCCTCCGCTCGTGGTCTCGCACCCTACTCCTCTGCTGTCCGCTCCCCTTCTCTGGCCGCCACGCTTGCGAATCCAGGGCCACCGGACTTCACGCATCCAGGGCCGCCGGGCTTCACGCTCTGCTCCTCCCTTCGTCTTCACCACCGTCTGTGTTCTCCTCACTTCTCCAATCTCGAATCACCGGGTGCCTGCTTCCCTACGGCGGTGCCGGCGGGTTGGCCGAAGAGCAGCTACAGGCGCTCCTGTCAGCCGCCGTTGCGGGCAACAAGCAGGTGCAGCAGCAGTACCACTGCGAGGCAGGCGTGGCCAGCACCACGAGATCGACCTGACCTGCAACTGCGGCGGCGGCGTGGTGGCGTCGTGGAAGGGCGGCAGGGACGACGACCTCGAGCCGCAGTACCATGGCGTGCACGGCGGACGTGTTGTTGGCGGTGGTGGTGTCCACCAGTGGGCGCCCGTTGTCCATGGTGGACACGCTGTTGGCGGCGGAGCTGTGCCTGCAAGGTGGGGAGGTGGACGCGCTGGTGCTCGCCGGGTGCGAGTGCCTCCGCGCGGGGCTGGAGTGGGCGACGGCAGCGGTAGTGCGAGGTGCCGGCGCGCGTCGCCGCGGCGGGCGCCTTGCTTGCACTGCGGGAGAAGGAGCATGAGCTGGAGGTGGCCATGGAGGAAATGTGTCAACGGGGTAAACTTACTAGTCTTAGGATAGGGTGATTCTATGCAAGCCAAAGCAAACAACCAAATAAACCAAAACTTAGCCAGGCTTCAACAATCATTCCAACCAAACAAGTGGTTGTTGGCTTGTGCCAACTTGGCTAAGTCTAGCCTGGCTCAAAAAGCTAGCCAGGCTTGGAATTGCACATGAACCAAACATGCCCTTACCTTTTTACAGGCTTTCATTGTCAAATAGTGAGTATCAAATAATTGAAGCCAACCAATGTTAAGTATGCAAAACCATATTTGGGGAAATTACAGAAGGATGTATGCTTTGGAATAGTTGATGATGATCATCGTCAACTAAAGATTTGGACGCTCAATGAATCATGCGGACAGATGGAGTGGGTTCTGAAGTATGAAGTTGAGGTTGGGTACTATGCTCATTATGTAGCATCACTCCCTTATGATCACAATGCTAGGCAGCCAGAAG